CACAGTATACCTGTGGACATCAGACAGAGACTGGCAGTCACCCTTCGAATTTTAGCTTCAGGTGGAAGCCAGCAGGCCGTTGCAGCTAGCTACAAACTGTCATCAAGCACAGTGTCTTCCATAATGTTGGAGGTCTGTATAGCGTTATGGGAAGCACTGCAGCCAGAGTTCCTTCCCTGCCCTTCAGTTGCCCAATGGGAAGCTATTGCAGATTTTTGGTGACTATGGAACTGTCCGAACTGTGTCGGCAGCGTAGATGGAAAGCATGTTAACATAAAGGCACCACCGCACGCCGGGAGCGGCTACTTCAACTACAAGGGTGCACGCTCCATTGTTCTGATGGCTACCTGCGATGCTAGATATCGCTTTACCATGGTGGATGTCGGGGGTTATGGACGGGAAAGTGATGGTGGTATCTTCAGGGAGAGCTGATTTGGTTCTATGCTTCTTGAACACAAACTGATCCTGCCCCCACCAGCCAATCTTCCAGGAACAGGAGTACCACTTCCACACGTCATTGTTGGTGATGCTGCATTCCCCCCTGCACAACAACCTCATGTGTCCCTTTCCAGGTATGTCACAGACAAAAGTGATTTTATGTAGTAGTACTGTACTTCGTGTGTGTGTGTGTGTGTGTGTGTGTGTGTGTGTGTGTGTGTGTGTGTGTGTAGTTTTAAAATCACATTAGTGTTCTTTATTTTCAACTCAACAACACAGCACCACAGCAGAAAGAACAAATGATGAAAACAGAACAGAAACAGAAGTGCAAACTAAATGCAAAAGTCACAAACTGTATACAAATGTGCAAACCGTATACTACTAGAGCCATAAAGAAGAACTGTTATTGTTATACTATATTAGACACACTTTTTACAAAAGGCACTATGTACAAATGAAAGTGGATACAGTGCAAAGTATGCTATAGTCCACATTTCAGGGAATGTTCATTGAGGTTGCTGCCGCTCAAACAGGAGCTTGTACACATCAAACATAGCCTGTGGCCTGTGCTCCTCTGGCAGTCTCTGCAGTGTGACCAAACCTGGCACTCTCATTGTTGCCCTTGGTAAGTGTTTTTTGTAACTCCAACCGCCGTGCTTCCAACTCGACAATTTGCTTTTGGATGCTACAGTCCTCTTGGTCCTTCCTCTTCCTTTTCTGTTGCATCCTTGGGCTAGGGGACAGAGAAGATGGCTGGGGGGATAGAGGAGATGGCTGGGGGACAGAGGAGTTGGCCGGGGAGACAGAGGAGTGTGGTGGTGGTGGGGCTGCTGATCATCATTGCTGGATGACTCGCTGCTAGATGAACTGCCAGCTGGTTGATGAACTATGTCTGCTGTAGGTCCCGCAGCAGCTGCAGAGGAGCTTGAGTTGCTTGAATCGCTCCCATCCTGCAATTATTTCAGAAATAAGTATTTTTAGTTAGTCTTGCCATTTATACCATCACACAGGGGATGCATTCGGTGCACATATACAGAAATGCAGAGCAAATGATATGGATAATGTCTCGTAGCATTTCCGGTAGCAAAGGGCTGTGGTAGTGTTGCTAGCTTGTTAGCTAGCCTAAACGCAATGCAGAGGTTTACAACACAAAAGACACGCTATATTTACCTTATCGTTGTAATTTGACTCCATTTCCCGGGGCTTCACATCCGCCTGGGTCTCCACTCTTCGTAGTGAGTTTTTTGCGGAGGCGAACGTACTTGTCCCTCCAGTTCTTCCATCTCCTCACACATTCCGCCACCTCCAAACTCACATTCGAGGAAATTTCTCTGCACGAATTTGTTGCCATCTGTCTTTGTAATTTACCAAAGACGAATCGTGCAAATGCGTGTACTTCCTGATTTCCTCCACCAAACACTCCTCGACTTGATCCATGTTGTTTGTTTTCTTCACTGACAGAAGATCAACTGAAATTGAAAAGGCGAAGAAGAAATACAGACCGAAAATGCTACCAAGCCGACCAATCACAGAGCTTACGGTCGCGTCGACTCAATGCATAGTTACATTTTGGAGGAGGTGCACGTCAGGCGATGGCGTAGTCTCTGCGTAGCCCCGTAGCCTACGCCGTCACCTATGCCGTCGATTTGACACAGAAGTATAAATTGCACTTAAGCCCTCCTCTTAGCATTCAGGATGTCCTTGATGTCCTTTGTTGGGACAGTGCAGTCCACACAGAAGTTGATGTAGATACACTCAGTAAGCCATCAATGTCCTCTCCATGTGGCTCACAGAGTGCATCCCAGTCTGTTACCTCGAAACGTCCCTGAAGTGTCTCATAGGCAGAGGGCGGAATGTAAACAGCTACAGCGATGGCATGTGAAATTTCCCGTGGAAGATAATATGGTCAGAGTCCCACAGCAAGCAGTTCAATGTCCGGGCTACAGATACGCTGTTTAACTGTAATGTGACGGGGATTACACCATCTGTTGTTAACTAGAACGGAAAGCCCCCCGCCTTTACGCTTACCGCTCTCGGTGCAATCTCTGTCGGACCGAACAGTCTGAAAGCAGTCGATGGAGAGGTTGTGGTCAGGAATATCCAAGTGTAGCCAAGTCTCTGCGAAGCACATTAAACTCCAGGCTAACGCTGTTAGCTCGTCCATCTTATTACCCAGTGATCTCACGTTGCCCATGATGAGAGAGGGGAGACATGGCTTAAATCTCCTTCTCCTAAGTCTCTGTTGTCTGGACCCCTCTCTCTTCCCACGCCGTTTCGTTCCTCCTCTGCAACCTCTGTGTGTCCTCCTCCAGATCTCGGTGGGGATGTCTGTGGGCCTGGGCGCCCCGGTCGGCTTCAGCGCGATCAGCTGGTCCCAGGTGTAAACAAAGCGGCCATGAAGTTGCTGCGCAACAGTGCCGTGGTTTACCAAAACTCTCTGAACTTCCATGATTACAGCGAGTCTAGTTTAAATTACGTATAGACCAAAAATCACACACATGAGATATAAAAAAGAAAGTTCAAAGTTAGAAGACGACAAACGACGGAGCTACTGCAACCGGCTGCATCCACGTTGCACTACTGCGTATGCGCACTACTGCACAGTAGCTGCAGATACTTTGGTTAGTGAGTACATAGAAAGGGAAGGGAGGAGGAAGTACATAAGACTTCAGATCAGTAACCTTCAGTTGTGCTGACATGATAACTTACAGCATATCTGTCATTTCTGCCTCATGGTAAGTGCTATGTGTACAGTCCATGTGTATAAAACAAGGGGTGGCTACAGTAATCACTATACTTGTGTTTGTTTGATATGTGTCTTTTTACACATCTTCTGTTTGTTTCATATCTTACTTGACACCCCCACCCTAACAATAACTGTAGGCCTCCATGTTTTCATATGTTGCCTCTCTGCAAATACGTTCTACTTCACTCGAATTTCACCCAAATGTAGGCTACCTGTAAAGACAAACATAAAGACAGTGGATCTTTATGGTGAGAGGTTAAGGCATAGATACTGACCTAACAACATGTCAGAGACATAAATAACGGTTTTGCACAGTTCATAGCTGTAACTGTTATGTACTGTAGCTATGTAGTTGATATGACAGACAGACTAAATGTTCCTGTAACATTAACTGGAACAGAGCTGCAGTATTGTCACTAATACTAGTATTGCAATAATGTGAATGCATTTGTATTATCAAGTTAACGTTTCTTGCATGTACCATGCATCTATCAGGTAAACTTACATAGGCTACTGCAGCAACACATACACGTACGGGCTTAATGTCACAATACACGCTAGAAACAGCTGACATTACAGTTAGCCACATCAGCTGCAGAACATGCTAATGCCAAGTTCAACAGGCAAGTGTTCAAAAAAACAGAAAAGCAAAATAAAAATGGTAAAACTTACAGGTTCCAAGTTTGAAGTCAGTATATCCATCCTTGAGCTGTTCAGTTGATAGATTTCATTTGGTTGTGAAGTTACAGCCTTGTGTTGTGTAATGGTAGATACACAACTGAACCATGAGAACCTGAATTGGCCTTCCAACTGAAGAGGGAGTGAGTAACTGAGGACCCGCCTTGATGAGAGGACTGACAGATTGCATTTTCATAGTGTCCCTTGAAAGCTGCTTGTGAACGTAAATGCAATGCAATAGACTGGGGGTGCTGTTTCACTAATTGCATTTGAATAAAGTCCACTACAGAGCAGAGTCATTGAAAATGCAATGTCAAATGCTGTTCTCATTTTCAATGTCACATAGTTAGAAAATGACATTTTAATTTTGACCTAAAAAGACCATGAGGGCATGGATATGTAAATGCATAAAGGCACTGTTCACTCATTGCATTTGAATAAAGTCCACTATAGAGCAAGTAAGTAAGAGAGTAAGTCTTTGAAAATAAAATGTCAGATGCTGTTCTCATTTTCATTTTAATATGGTCCTAGAATGCTCACACAAGTATGTGAAAATGGAAATTGGATGATTGCATTTTCATTTTCATGTTTGCATGATAATTTGAAATAAGTCCACTATATGCATATACATTTGTTTTTAATTGTTATTATTTTATACTTTTATATTTGTCATTTTATATTTATATCATCTGTTTATTCCATATTTATATATTTCAACTTTAGCACCTTTTCAACAAAGCAACTTCGTTGTGTGTAAAAATTACTTGGCAATAAAGCTCTTTCTGATTTTTGATTCTGATTCAAACACTGAAGGTAAATATGTTTAATGTGAAGTAAGAGCAGAGTATCAATAAGATGGTAGGGTAAACTTTTGTGAATGCAGAAATAAAACAAAACATCTGCACACAATCTCACAGAGATCTTTGTCAGGCTAAATCTTTGTAAGTAAAACGGTATAGACTAAAATGACCAGCACGTTGAACATGACACTAGAGCTGTAGGGGATCTACAAAAGACTCTGATAAACATTTTGTATCTTTTATTGATAAAATAATTAACATTTTTTGTTTGTTCATGATTGTTATAAAAATAATTTAAGTCACCAAATCAGCATTATAGATATAGAGTTAGGGCTCACCTTGCACTGGGTGTCACCCAGTGACCAGCCGTCATGGAAGATGGCATACAACACCAGAGGATAGGGGTAAAATGCAACCACCAAGTCAGCAAAAGCCAGGCTCACCACAAAGATGTTTCCTGTGAAGGACAGAGGAAGAGGACATGGAGAGGCACGTGAGGCTGTGGTTGAAACTGTATCAACCTTGAGTTTAGCATCAGCAGGTCCATGACGCATGGCCACACCTCACCCATGGTAAGCTTTCCAACAGTGTCAATGAGTCAATAACAGTAACAGAAGCAGCTAGAAAGAAAACACTCCTGGATCTGATCTCCTAACTGTTTAACATATGTACCATCCATTTCCCTTGTTCTGAAATTGATCATATTAGTGAGTATTCTAAATTAAAAGGATTCAACCAGGATATCTTTCAGTGTTTTATTCTTTCCTTATGAGATGACAAAAACATACGTAGGATGTCAGACCAAGATCACTTGTGTAGCAGGCTGTTTATCCTCTGTGCGGCAAAATAATTATGCAGCTTCAGACTGTGGAAACCTGGTGCTCACAGCCCAGTTGCCCATAACTGAACTAAGGACAACATATTTCAGTGAACGACGGTCATATAGTCCTAGTCCTTCAGGATTTGAAAAATTTCTGATGGAGCCCTGCTTTGCAGAAGCAGCGGTAGCAGTCACAGCTAACAGCTGGCTGCTCTCACTCGCATTTACTTTAATAAATGCCCATTCTAGTTATTATTATTTATTTCACAATTTCTTCTGCATCTATCTTCTCCTGTACCGTTTGTCCTACAAACTTTGTTTCAACTTCACTTCAAAATGTAAATTCTTTTCAGGAGATGTATGCTCTTACTTTTACTGCTGATATCTGTAATGGTTGATTTGTAATGGTTGACCCTCTCCAATTCTCTAACTTGCTAAATCATCCTTCCTGTTTGCAGTGTGGACACAAGATAAATATATTTATTTTCTCAGCTACTCAAGCACTAATTAAAAACACCAAAATGATAGCTGAAAAGCTTTTTTTAATCACATGGACTTTTCTATCACTGACAGACACCACATGTCACAACAACAATGACTATGGCCATCTATAGTCATGTGGTGTCCTGAGTCATGTTGAAGACTACTTTAACTTCACCGCCACATCACCGCCACGCTGTTAACTGCAAACTCACAAGTTTACAACACGGCTTCATCAATGTGTTATGGGTTTTCTGGGACAGTTTTGAAGTTGGTATGTCCAACCTGCTAGGAGTAGTACATTAAAACGTAAAACATGTCATTTACTGTTGCCTGCAGGTGGCGGGACATCCCAAATATCAAAACTTCTTGTTATGGCGAATCATCGATTTTTGATGCCACGAAAGTGGTCAACTGGTAATAACCATTTCTACAACTTTTAATCGTAAATGGGTTTAGACTGCACAGTGAAAATTTTAAGTTGATCGGACTAATTCCCTAGGAGGAGTTCGTTAAAGTACGGAGTGTATAAATCGCAAAAAATTACCATTTTATCCAAAGTGGCTGACTTCTTGTTGGGTTTAGGTAATGGCTCCAAGAGGGTTTTTTGTACATCTGGACATGATACACGTACCACAGAAATTACATACACGTCTGGTGAAACTTTGTCCGGGGGCTTCTCTGTAGGCGCTAGCGAGCCATTTTGCCACGGCCATGCGTGAAACCCATAAAATATGAATTTTTTGCCCTGCCTGAATTATGTGCAAACTTTGGAGAGTTTTCAAGTATGTTTGGGCTCCAAAATTGAGGTTACGTTGGCGTACGCCACGCCAAGGGCACACCGTGCCATGAAAACTGACTGTTTGTACAACTTTTAATCGTCAATGGGTGTAGACTGCACAGCAGAAATTTGAAGTAAATTGGACTAATTCCCTAGGAAGAGTTTGTTAAAGTACGGAGTGTGTAAATCGCCAAAAATCCCTTAAATTTCAATAGGGACCTTGCATGAAACATGCTCGGGCCCTAAAAATAATCCCTTCAATTCCAATAGGGACCTTGCATTTTTTCGTGCTCGGGCCCTAATAATTCCTTCAGTTTCAATAGGGACCCCCCCCCCCAAAAAAGCCCACTGTGTTCTGATGGCCAAGATCCTGAAGCAGGATGATTATGCCGTTCAGCAGTAGAGACAAAATAAGCAGGCAAGTTACCATATATGGAAAATTAGATCTGTATGACATCATTAAGAGCCAAGAGTAGAGCTTTGGCCACATGTAACATGAGACATTGTAACATCATAGATGACAGAAAATATAAGAAGCCTAATAAGTTTCCTTTTGTGTGTGTGTGTGTGTGTGTGTGTGTGTGTGTGTGTCTCTGCGCGCCTGCTGGGACACACAGTTATGCTTACATTTGTTCTCCCATGGAGTAAAGTTTAAAGCTCCATGCTTTGAGGGTTCTCTGTATGTGTGTGTGTATTGTGTATTAGTGTGTGTGCGTGTGAGTGTGTGTGTGTGTGTGTGTGTGCGCACATTGTGTCTGTCAGTGTATTAATGTGTGTGTGTATGTGTTCAGTGAAGAGGACACAAACAGGTGTTCAGAAAATAGCTTCAGTCCACCAATCAGAACAGAGGACCCAGTCCTTTGATCTTTAATCAGCTAACTTATGTCACCAAGGTAACCAGCTCTACAATAGAGACAGACAGGAAAATCCTGTCTGTCAAACAAACCTCCATTGAGATAAAACTATAGGTTGTATGGGCAAAATGACCAGCAGCAGCATAAGGCATTTGTGAAAGATGTGATATGTTTTTTGTGTGGATAAAGTAAAAAGAAGTGAGCTCTTCAGAAAGTTAAAAAACTGGTATGTTCTTCTCAGAAATTTTGAGGATAATTTATAATGGCAGCCTATGGAGGAGCTGGCTGGCACTCTTGTCCTTTGGAAGGGCACAGATCTATAAATCCGAGGGATTTGATAAGCACATGTGAGAAACCACAACAAAAATACCTACATTTCTAGTATAAAATTATGCTTGAAGAGTTAAAATTGTGGTCTGGGCAGCGAGTTAAAAATACATTTTTCACCCACTCTAACTTACGCAATACACACCCATTATAAACTAAGAAAAGAGCTCAAAAAAGCATAAAACTTCCACAGCGACAGTGAACAAACCATAAAATATTTCGAAACGCTGAATACATCATTAATAGATTAATTTCTTGTGACCAGTTTACAGTTTAAATCAAGTATGTAGCTGAAAGTATGCTGAACTGGTGAGCTTTCAAATTGGAGTAGGTATGAGGAGGATTTCGATGTCATTCACTTAGAATGGAAAAATTTCCCTGGAAAACCTGGAATATTTTGTAAAGTATTCAAGGTATCAATGACAAAAGTAATAGCACTCCATTCATTCATTGAGCTGGACAACTTGCAGTTTGAACAGAGTTTCTACGTCAAAAGCTGTGGGACTAGTTACGGTCAGCAAAAACATAGGTTAGAAATAACATACAACAACAACATGCTTGCAGCATTCACACCATAAACTGTATGGACGTAGTATCCGTGACGTCACCCGTTGGTTTCTGAAGAGCAGTTATGAATCCCGAATTGGGCTGAGCTGGCCGTCGCCATCTTGGCACTGCGTCACCGCGCGTCACTCCCAGATAACCATAAATGGGCAAGGCAGGTCGTGGGTGGAGCTGAGGTGTAACTGTCCCACTGACGTGGAAAGGCACTTTCTTTCTGTTTACTTTGAGTTTTAAATATTGTCCATATTTGTGTTATAGGTCCATTTAAAAAATATATATGGTTTATGGTTCACATTGTAATAAATTCTACATATATAAGCACTCCCTGTCTTTACTACTTACTGAAAAGCTAATCGTATACCACAAATAAAACATTAAACATTAAAGCTGAACTCTTGCTAAAGAACATCAGTCTAGGACAAGTTGAAAAGTGAAAATACTCCCAACATGTTTCACATGAAATGTTGAAAAGTAATTATGCAGTGTATCTCTGTGTGTGCAGGAGTATTTTTACTTTCTACCTTATACTTTAAGATAAATAAGGAGCCATATACCCAGTACCCATATACTGTATAACAGAGCCTGAAGTTTCTGAAGAATGCCTTGTTTGCTTCTCTGATATAAGTCTAGTTTAGATTAGTTTAGATTGTTATTCACGTCGGCGGTAATGACTCCCGGTTACGCCAATCGGAGGTCACTAAGATTAATGTTGAGTCGGTGTGTACATATGCAAAAACAATGTCGGACATCAAAGTTTTCTCTGGACCCCTGCCAAATCTGACCAGTGATCACATGTATAGCCGCATGACGTCATTCCGCCGCTGATTGTCGAGGTGGTGTCCAGCAAACGATGTGGGCTTTGTTGATCATTGGCAGACCTTCTGGGGAAGACCTGGTCTGATCCGGAGAGACGGCATCCATCCCACTTGGGAAGGAGCAGCTCTCATTTCTAGAAATCTGGCCAAGTTTATTAGTGGACCAAATCCATGACAACCCAGAGTTGAGACCAGGAGGCAGAGTCGCAGTTTAACACACTTCTCTGCCCTTCTTTTTCAGCAGTTACCCACCCAAAACCCTACGCAGAGTCGCAGTCTAACACACTTCTCTGCTCCTCCATTTCAGGAGTTACTTAGTGAAAATCCTATAGTGACGGTGTCTGCCCCCCCGACCATCGAAATTATTTAAATCAAAGGCAAACAGAAGAGGAGCTGTGCATAAAAACCTCATAAAAATTAAAACCACAAGAGCAATGGTGCAAACGAATAGGAGAGTTAAATGTGGACTCTTAAACATCAGATCTCTCTCTTCTAAAGGTGTACTAGTAAATGAACTAATATCAGATTATGATATTGATTTATTTGGTCTTACTGAAACCTGCCTGGGTGATGGAGAATATGTTAGCCTAAATGAATCCACCCCTCCCAGTCATATTAATACTCACATTCCTCGAGGCACAGGCCGAGGAGGTGGAGTTGCAGCTATCTTCGACTCTAGCCTACTAATCAGCTCTAAACCTAAACTAAACTATAACTCATTTGAAAGCCTTGTTCTTAGTCTTTCATACCCTATTTGGAAATCACTGCAACCAATTCGTTATAGTGTACCGAGCACCTCGCCCGTATTCTGAATTT